TCCGTTACTTTTTTGAAATCAATTTAAAAATGTACTTTTGCATTTTTTTTTATTATATGTAATACTGACAAATATATAGTTTTATTTGAAAAAAAAAAAAAACAATGTAGAATGGCTCAAATAATAAATTAAATAAAAGTAAAATGAGAAGGGTTACGAGCCAAAAATGAAATAGTTTATTTCCGATAAGAACGATGATGACAATGTAATTAAATGTATAAATATATATTAGAACAATAACATGGACAAAACTAGATAAAAACAAACGATGTTTCGACACTTATTGTCATCGTCTTTTAAACTGTTTCGCTTTTGGGTTCGTAGCCCTTCTCATTTTACTATTATTTAATTTATTTTTTAATTTTTTTTAAACACAATTTTGTAATTCTAAAACCTGTAAAATATGCAGCAAACTGAAATATTTGTTTGTCCTATATATTACATAGAAGATAGAAGTGTAAAATAATTACTGAATCATGACGGCCGAATGTCTAAGGACTTTCAAGTCTTATTGATAAGCGCTATAAATAGCATGTATCCAATCGAACCGTGTTCAATCGTGTGCAAAGTAACGACAAAAGTAACTGTAAATTTCGTTACCGTTACCCAAAAAATGTAACTCGTTACCGTTACAGTTACCAAAAAAAGAAAGTAACGCAGTTACCAGTAAAGTTACCAAAAAAGTAACTTGTAACTGTAACTTCGTTACAAGTAACGAGTTACTTCCATTCCCTGCTTCTATGTGATACATCGAATATACGTGTATTTCAGTTTGCTGCATATTTTACAGGTTGTAGAATTACGAAATTGTGTTTAAAAAAAACTAAGAAATAAAACTATACATAGTGTTAATGTTATACATGCTATATTGTATATATTGCTTTTATTAACGGTTAAATAAAAAATACTGCAAAAGTACATTTTTAGATTGATTTTTAAAAAATAACTGAAAAGTAACGAAAAGTTACCTTCCGAGTAACTGTAACTGTAACGAGTTACTTTTAAAAAGCGATAACTAGTAACGGTAACTCGTTACTTTTTTTACTCGGTAACGAGTAACTGTAACTTATTACTTTTAAAAAGTAACTTTTCATTCCCATTATTAGATAATATCATTTAAAGTCTCAATGGTTTAAATTTTTGAGGATATGTTATTATTATTAGATAATCACTTAAAGTTTTAAAGGTTTAAATGTTTGAGAGGATCTTTTTTTGAACATGGCTTGACCTCTTCATTTTTATGATACGATTTTTTTTAGGATATCACTTACTTTTTATAGTCCTACTATTTTACATAACGTTCTTCGTCATTGTATATATCATTTAAATTTTAAAGTAAATAATCATCAAAAGGGAAAGGGGCTACGAGCTAAAGTAAACAACATAAATTCAAACGGTAAAAGTAAAAATTATAAAAAAGAAAAATTTAAAACTTACGTAATTGTTTTAATGAGTGTGTGGTAATTGGTTACAGTAAGATGCATGTTCGTTACATCATATTTTAAGAAGTATTTGTAATTCGACAATCTTCAATTTGTCTCTCATAGTCTTCAAGATGCGTATACTTTGCCATAGATTCATGAGTGACGGATATAGTTGAAACGTTCTATGGATCGTCAAGCCATCGATATTACGATACCCAAATATGCGAAATGTAGCCACGATACCCGTATGAGCAGATATGGCAGTCGCTTTTTTCAAATGTATCCTGATCCAATGTTTAATCGTTTCAATAAGAAAACTTTTCCCTGTACCACTCTCGCAACTTACGCACAGTCACAGAATCTGATTTTTTATTTTGTAAAACTTGTCATACTCTATCGAAGACTCTTCGGGTATTCATTCATCGCGATATTTTTTGCGATAAATCAATCGGGACGTCAATCTTACCAAAATCTTCCAGATCTTTCATCGCGTTAGCTTCTATCGGATTGCAATCCAGTTCATCGTCATCGGATTTGTCTTTGTCTGCTGTTTTCGTATCATTTTCATTTCTGTCTCCTAATAATTATTACAGCTTTTAGATAGTTTTCATAGTTTTCTTTATTCGATCTAGCAGCGCCAAGTATCTTTATATAAAAAATTTTTCTATTTAAATAATTTTTTTTTCATTTTGTACTGTTACTTCTTTAATATTTTGCGGTAATACTTGAAACGAATAAAGTAATACAATTTTGCGATATAGTAATGTTTTGAAGGAAGATTGTATCACTAATTACTACAACTTTGGTTGAAGGAATAAATGTGTTTGAATGAATTGTGTTTAAATTTATTTTGATATAATTTTTTTAAAGAAGAATTAAACCACTTGGATTGGAATAGGAAGATCTTTCAATAAGAATATAAAAACATATACTTAGGTTTTATTGTATAAAACCTATATAAATTCACACGAAATTATATATTAGAAGCATCCAATTTGACCATTATGGCATGTTCTCATCGTTACTTATTAGTTTAAACTCTAATGGTTCAATAAGATTTGATATTGTTTGTTTACTGTTGTCGCCTGAAAATAGACGTTGTTCCTACTTATATGATTATTGCAAAGAATATTACTAAGACCTCTGTAGTCTAAAGGCTTAGGTCGCTCGCACGAAATGCCAGAGATCCGGGTTCGACTCTCCCCATACAGCACCGAATATCACCAGAATGTCGTCAAAATATTACATTTGAAATCTGAAATATTCTGGCGATGATCTCAGAAACATTCTGGCAATGTTAGCAGAATGTCTCATATCCGCGCCTATCAATATTCTGGAGATATTCTGTAATATTCTAGAAACTTTTTCTTTTATGCCCGCATCTGGCAATATTCTGGAGATATTCTGTAATATTCTGAGACATTCTGAAATATTTTAGTATCTTGCGAATGAAATATTCTAGAGAATAGATTTTTATATACAAAGCTTATTAATTATACTAGGTGTTTCAGACCATCCGTCTCACCCTTTTATCTTTGCAGAATAATATTCAGAATATTATTCTGCGAAGATAAAAGGGTGAGACGGATGGTCTGAAACACCTAGTATAATTAATAAGCTTTGTATATAAAAATCTATTCTCTAGAATATTTCATTCGCAAAATACTAAAATATTTCAAAAACAACATCTGGCAGAAATATAAGCGTCGCTCTGCTTCGCGAACCGAGATATTAAGCGTTAAAGTTGATGATTTTTGAGGTTAGGATATGTCATGGTCACGTAATACTGCGATGTGAGTATGTGCTGCGGTCACATTTTCATGCTTTGCATAAAAGCATTACTGGCTGCGTTCCGTTTCACGCATATGCATACCTTAGATTTGCACAGATTTGCAGGTTGCGTAGAATGAACAGCACCAGTAACACGAAGCACATGGTCACATGGATAGATCGCAAACTACTAATGTCTATATCTCTCGAATATTTCATTCGCAAACATTCTGAAATATTTCAAATGTCAGCAGACTATTAATTCATATATGAAACGTTTAGAAAGATTTGAAATTAAATATCTCCAGAATATCAAACAAATGTTGGAAATGTAATATTTCAAATGAAATATCTCTAGAATATTTCATTCGCAAAATTCTGATATATTTCAAATACAATATCGTCAAAATATTCCATATGAAACGTTCTGAAAGATTTGGAGTGAAATGTCTCCAGAATACAAGGAAAATATTGCGCATGTAATATTTCAAATGAAATGTCTTTAGAATATTTCAAATAAAATATCCTACATGTAATATTTCTACATATATGCAGAAATATTTCAAATAAAATATTTTATAAAAGACATTTGAAATATTCTGACGACGTTCTGATGACATTTAGTGCTGTGTGGGTCGGCAGAGGTAGAGTCCTAGATATCAGAGAAGCGCAACCGGCTTAAGTCAGTATCGCAAAATTACTAAGAAAAGTATTAAAAATGGCGTCATTTGCAGACGAAATATGAAATCCACCAATCGTCTATTAGTCAGCCATTTTTAATACCACTGAATGAATGTCATGATTGGCTGACAGTCAGCTAATCAGGACGCGGAACATCGGTTGCGCTTCTCTGATATCTAGGACTCTAGGCCGAGGTAATATTTTTCACAATACAAATTAATTATTTACAGATTTTTAATATATCATTTGACATTATTGGGATCCAAGATGCCATGAGCATCAAAATCGTTATCTTGTTAGTCAATTTAATACGTCAGTCAATTTAATACGATAGTACTGCGGTACTAGTTTATTAGAGTTTGCGTTGTAAGTCTGGAAAAAATTTCGGCGCGCATTTTTAAGAATTTACATACGTAATATAAAAATTCGCACGAAATTATATATTAGAAGCATCCAAGATCCAGCTTGACCGTTACGGCATATTCTCGTCGTTACTTATTACCTTAAATTCTCACGGTCCAATAAGATTTGATATTGATTATAAATTATACGAAGCATACTCACTGTAAAAAAAATTTCATGTAAATTACAACAGTCATACGGGATAATTTTGGGACCCACTATAATAGTTGTAAACTTCCACGCGTTTGTAAATTTTCTATATTGAAATAAAATTAATTTCTTAATTTGTAATTGTAATTTTCCATCCAATGTAAAGATAAATTTACATTATCAGAGATAAAATGAACTAATTTTTGTAAAATCACACAATTTTACAAATTTCCACTATAAATTGTGTAATTGTTACACATACTATTTATGTAATTTTACGCACTTTTTTTGCAGTGCTTGTGGACCGAGATTCAGGTAGCCTTTACCAAAAATGTAGATTTTTTTTCTATATTGTCAATACTGTTGATTTGTAAAACTGTTAATTTTAACGCATGCAGTATAAAATGATAACGATCGATTATGGTTTATTACCTACGATGTTATAATTATGATTGTAATGATAATTTGTGTAACAAATTCAGCTGCAGCTGTACACACAATCGTATTAAAAACATTCATTAGGTTGAAAAATAATGGCAAGTAACTTTATAATATTTCTTTTTCTTTTTATAGTGACTCGATCAGGAGGGAAGAAATTAAAGAAGACATTAGTTGCAGTAGAAAAAAAAGTATTACCCGTTGAAACGGATGTTAACAGGCTCTTAACTCATGTTTGCGGTACGAATATTTGTAAGGAAGGAGGAAAAGACATCGAGTTAAAACCAGATTCGGAATACCCTAGTTGGTTGTGGAATATTAGAACTGGCCCTCCTCCACCTTTGGAAGAATTAGATCCAAATACAAAACAATATTATAGAAAATTGCGATTACTCGGTTTAAGAAGAAACAATCAAAAAAGTACAACTAGAAAGTTTTAATTTACTTTTGAAAAAATATACCACGCACATCTAGTGCATTTTCCATAGGTTTGATGTATTGAAAAAAAAGCATTGAAGATAATTATTATTTCTATGTTTAAGTGCGCAAACGCACTATTACAATTATACATCTTTTCTAACACTTAAAGCAAATGGCAATGTGGTACTAAAGAGTTAGATACATTAGAATGATTTATGTAAAGGATGATTAAAATGATAAGCGTCTTTCTTAATTTTAACACTTGAGCTTATTAATATCCCTATTTAAAAAATCATATCACAAAATTATATAATGAATCTGATTTTTTCAATTACGTATCATTGAAAAATCACTGATTGTAATTGATTTGGAACTGTCCGTTATGTTATTACTTGTTTCAATTACATGACTTCGTTATGTAACTTTGTGACGTGATTTTTTTTTAGGAATATTTGGCCAAAAATGGGTTTGTCATTAATGATAAATGGATGTTAATAAATGAATATGTATATGTGATAAGCATATTTTATCATATTAAAATTCTCGTATGATTTAATGAAACCTGTTATTTTAAAATATGCATAATATTGATAAATATTTGTTTCTTATTGTTATATTAAGATTAAAATTTTATTTATCACAGTTAATTATTTTTATTATAGATACATAAAAATTATCTTATTTAATTAAAAAAAAATTATTAAATATTTTTTATAATTGCAATAATTACAGTAATTATTTTCTTAAATGTAATCCGTATAACATTAAATTTTACTTTTTGTTGTTTATATTAATATCTTAAGACTGCGATATATGATGTATGTTTTCCTGTTGGATTGCTTACGTTTCAGTTAGAAAATCTACGTTCCGTATGATGCAATTCTAATAATTTACAAAAACGCAAACAATCTAACAGGAAAAAACGCATTGTATATGTCGCAGACTTTAATTAAAATATTTTTGCAGTATAATACACTACTCAACAAAATTAAAGGATCACTTGTTCCATCCTGCAAAAATAGGCAAACTTTGAGATAGAATAACTTCGTCAAAAATCATCGTATCGAGATGTTTAAAAAAGCATTTTAAAGCTTGAAATCTCTACTTTTCAGATCGGTATTCCAAAAAAATGGTCTTACTGATATTTCGTAAAGTTACACAAATATAAATAAAAGTACGTCAAACCTGAAAATTTTATACGAAATTTGAGGAGTTCCACGGAGCCAAGTAAAAACTGTGCACAAATGCGGTTCACAGCTTTCGAAAGAGTGAATCTTTTCCTTCAATTTGCATTTTTTTTAGCTCTGTACGATTTTTTTTCACCGAGTTATTTAACGTTTAAGTAAAAATGGCCTTTTTATTTCAACGTTGAATAACTTGGTGAAAAAAAATCGTACAGAGCTCAACAAAAAAGCAAATTTAAGGTAAAGATTCACTCTTTCGAAAGCTGTGAACCGCATTTGTGCACAATTTTTACTTGGCTCCGTTGAACTTCTCAAATTTCGTATAAAATTTTCAGGTTTTGACGCATTTTTATTTATATTTGTGTAACTTTACGAAATATCAGTAAGATTATTTTTTGGAATACCGGTCTAAAAAGTATAGATTTCAAGCTTTAAAATGCTTTTTTAAACATCTCGATACGATGATTTTTGACGAAGTTATTCTATCTCAAAGTTTGCCTGCAGTTTTTTTAACAAAATTAAAGTCATTTAAAATCAATGTTAAAAAGGATCAAATTCGAATTTCGCATATCTCCGCGAAGAATGGTCGCGAAGCGAAAAAGCGTTTTAAAACTATACCAAATTTCTTCAAACGTAAGTTAAATTCAATACTTTCTCTTAAAGATGGTTATTAATCGTCACGTTAAAATCTTTTTCACTGAGTGATTTGAAGTAAATGTTGCATTTTTTAGTCTTTTCTCTAAAAATTTTTTTAAATTTTGCCACCGGTATTAGCATTACCCGAGGTGTACCACGGGGAGGTTACACGGTCGGACTTACACCTCGTGTGTGTGTGTGTCTGTGTGTGTGTGTGTGTGTGTGTGTGTGTGTAAGTAAATACATTTTTAAAAATTGTGTATTACCGCCTCTCTGTTGAATCACTTCTTGACAGCGTATCCGTATGTTCATAAATCGCTGAATTAAGTTCTGAGGAATTTCATGACAGATTAGATGGATTTCGTCAACGTATCGAGCAGAATTAAGTCCTGATGGTGGTACAATCATAATTTCTGTTCTTCGTCGCACAGAACTTGTGATCGTACCACCATCATTAAGGCCTATCGCACATGAAATGCATAATTGTGCATAAGCAGAACATAAGGCCGCTAGACCAATGAGCATCCAACATATAGACGCCATATTGATTAACATAAGATGCTCATTGGTCCAGCGGCCTTATGTTATGCTTATGCACAGTTATGCATTTCATGTGCTATAGGCCTAAGGGTGCAAACCCATGCAGCAGAATAGCGTAACGCGGAACGAGAGTAGAACCAATCACGAGATTCTCTAGAAACACGGAATGCTCGTTAGAGTCTGAGCACAAGCACTGCCGTAACATTTTACGACAACTTAAGTTGTAAACGTAAATAACGCACAAGCTTTGACGTATCGGCGTATGACGTGTTTATGCACGCTATCGAAAGATATGTCAATAATGTACATAAACACGTCATACGCCGATACGCCAAAGCTTGTGCGTTATTTACGTCTACAACTTAAGTATATCGTAAAATATTACGGCAGTGCTTGTGCTCAGACCCTTATTCGTTCTCCTCTCGTTCCGCGTTACGCTATTCCGCTGCATGAGTTTGCACCCTAAGGGCGGGTTCACACCTTGACGGAAAAACGGAAAGCGGAAAAGCAGTAGCCAATCAGGTAGTCGACTTTCTGTTAGTTTTGTACTATTTACTACCAACGCGAGTTCTGATCGGTTAACTGCTCTTCCGCTTTCCGCTTTTCCGTCAAGGTGTGAACCCGCCCTAAGGCGAGAAACACACACTAACGCATAAAGCATGTGCATAAGGAATTTCATTGGTCCATTTTCTTATGCATGAGTCAATGGACCAATGAAATTTCTTATGTACATACTTTATGCGTTATGCAAAAGTGTGTGTTGGGGCTCTTAGAATCAAAGATGTTGCATACTCTACAGAAGGAATGTACGATCGCATCCGAAATCATCAGATGTTTGAAATTGAAAAATAAAATACTTAAGAGCATTAAAATAATCCTACGAAATGAATCGAATGAAAAAGGCAATACATTTGATGGAACATATGATTAAATATAACAAATAAAAAAATAATTATACATGTTTATATATTTGAATATTGATGATGAATAAAATTTTCATATATTTGAGCAATTAGTGTCATTTTTAGCTTTAAATTTTATTTGAATCTAAACATTGAATGTTAAAATATTTAGAATAAATAATATCATAATATTATATCATTATCATAATATTACATATTTCATAAAACAAGACCATACTTCGCAATTTTTACCTACATATTTTTATAACCATATACGTAACAGGCTCTCATCTTCTCACCTAGTTTGGCAGCGTCAGGCAGGTAAGGTTGGCACGGGTACGCAATGGCAGACCAATCACGGGCCGTCGCGGTTGGCGCATCTTTGATTATAGATCTTTACTTCATACTATATGTCGATGGGTGAAGCATTGCACATAATGGCGGCCGCTCGCTATTTCAACCAATCAGAAATGATCCTAAATCAAAGCGGCAATTTCAATTTATAGTATATGATACTAGAGACCTAGAAAACAGAGATGCGACATTGCGTCGGTTGGGTTAGGTAACCACCGCCATTTTAATTCAATATAAGTACTCTTGACCAATAAGCTGATGACAGTTGATGCAAAAGGTAGAAAGATTAGATTAGGTTAGGTTAAGTCCGATATTAAATATTCACACGAATAAGAATACTTACACCATAATAATAGTTTTTTATTGCACTTCGACACTGTATTGTCTAAATTTTTCTCTATATATACATATATGTATGTACATACGTTATAAAACTATATCTATTAGATGCAATAGTGAATTAAAATGGCTCTTTGATCACGTGATTTAGACAGCCAATCAAGCCATAAGCGGGGAGCACAGCTTTTGCATAACGCATAAAGCATGTGCATAAGGAATTTCATTGGCCCATTTTCTTATGCATGAGTCAATGGACCAATCAAATTCTTTATGTATATGTATTATGCGTTATGCAAAAGTCTGTGCTCCCCGCTATACCCTTCAATGACGCATCTCTGTTTTCTAGGTCTCCAGCATAAACCATATACATAAAGAATTTGATTGGTCCATTAACTCATGCATAAGAAAATGGGCTAATGAAATTCCTTGTGCACATGTTTTATGCGTTATGCAAAAGTGTGTGTTGGGGCCATTAAAAAGAGAGAAAGCGAAGATGGTAAGTGCAAAAAGTGCAAGCAACGCGAACAGACCTGTTATTAATCTAGTGAAATCTAGTGACTTCGGAGTGTCAAGTGTCGACATCTAGAAACAGCTGTTCGTTGACACCCCTAACGCCCCCAGTTCTCGACCATCATGGTCGCTTCCAGGTTGACAAAGTTGTTGAAGATGATATTCGTTAAATGAAAAGGTTTAATGAGTGTATACACAAGTAATATTTATTCGAACTCGAACTAGCAACAAGGACAGTTGAAGTTTATTTAACTTTCTTTCTTATATTTTACGTAATGATGATCGTGTAATAACCCGTGCGCGAATGTTCTATTACGCCTTTCATCTTGTACAAACAATATTCGGCGATTTAATTAAAATTTTATCCGAACTGACGATTGCGTCCACGTGAAATGAAACAATGATGCCGATAAAGGACAATCAAGATGTGGCATGCTTTTTAGTTACCAAGCATTCTACATGGAAAGGAAAGTAAGCGCACGTACAACGTTCTTTCTTACATGTATTCTATTCTATTATATTTTATTCTATTATATGCACGTATCAATTCATTTCAACAATTCATTTAAAGAATGATAGAATAGTATTCTGTCTAATGTCTTATATATCAAATAAAATTTCATGTTTGTATGATATTTAATAAGCTCGGTATACAATTGTACAACTTAGAAATTATCAATTTTTTATGATAACAAAATTGCGTCTAAAAACATATTATTTAGTTGTGCTTACGATTATTCAATAAAACAAAAATAATATATAAACTTTGAATTGTATGTTATCTTTGCTTAGATGTTTGTTAAATATCCAAAAAATTAATACTAGTACATTCTTTTAATATTATTTGTATGTAAGAGTAATATATATATATATTATATATGTATATATATATTATATATGTATGTATATATATAATGAGAATCTACCAGGTCATTTCAATAAACAAGCTCTGAAAGATGTAAACAATGGGCAAGTTCAAGACGGTAAAGCGCCTAGGTATGCTTGCCGAGCGATTGAATATAATTGGTTATTACTTATAGATCCAACCAATCATACTCGATCGCTCGGCAAGCGTACTTAGCCACTTTGTCGTCTTGAACTTGCCCAATAATTATTATTCTTTTTATTATAATCTCACGGAACGTTTTGACTGTACTAAGTCCTCAGCGGTGTTTTTTAAAAATTAAAAACCCCTGAAACAATGATCTATATAGACTTATTAAAAACTAAGAAATTAATTTCAGTAATGGTATAAAAAACGTGTTAATTTAATATATATATATATTTTTTTAGGTACAAGCGTATCTTCTCCATTGGCTCAATGGGAATAACAACATATAATCCTAGCACATTGGAAGTGACAAACAAATGGGAATATTCTGATTTTATAAGTGTACAGCCAATAAATAGAAATCAATTAGGTTCTCATGAATTTACTATAACTGTACGTAAGGAGCGGAAAAATGAGACCATGAAGTTTAGTTCTGAACATAGATCACATCTATTGACAGAAGCACTCAAATACAGAAACCATGTTGAAAAATCTAAAGAAATTTTGGTGAGTTTACACATACAAACATTCACTCACTCACTCACACACACACACACACACACACGTTTTTTTTCTTGTTTCATTCAAGACTATATAACCATATGTTTGAAACAGTTTAGCTTCAAAGACACCCAGAGAAAAAAAATGTTATATTTTCTAAAAGTTTTGAAAACTATTATACTTGTATTATTTTGATGAAACTTTGTACATGTTTAAAGTTTCATTAAAATAATTCCAATGATTTTCGATATTTTTTTTTTTTTTAAAAACGAAACTTTTTGATATCTTGCATTTTTGAAATTGTTTGGAACATATATTTGAGTTATATGAAGTTTCCATCTTGAATTAGTACGAGAAAATATCTCTTAATATCTTGTAGTGTGCTTAGTATACAAAGTGTCGTAATAACTATTACCACCTGAAATATCTTCTAATAAGTAAGATGTAGAAAAAAATTTATTTAATCAAAATTAGCCGATATAAAGGGGGCTATCATATGGTGATAATAATTTTTGTCCAGGTGGAGGCGCTTCACAGATTTCAAACTCAACTTCGTTTTTTTAAATGGAATTATATAATATGAAATTTTTTTTACACAATATGATTCTTCTGATTATTCTGCATAAAAAAGTATTGAGATCATGGTACTGAAAAATCACTAGTTTACGAGATATTTTACATCTTATACTGATATAACTTTTTATGGTAATAGGTGTTTGAAATGATTGCCACCACTAACATTGGATTCTTCTAAATTGATTGGCTTGCTGTTCTAATAACGTTGGGTGATATTGATATACAGGCTGCAATAATTCGTTGCATGTCGTGAAATGTCTTTAATTATAGAAGATTTACAGGTTATCACCGTGACTTTCTTCATTCTTAATGCCGAATTTCGTGAACCATGTCGTTCACTTCATCAGGGCGAGGGATGCACTGATACTGAACTGTTACCCTGGGGGACTTCCTTTTTGTAGACGCTATTGGAAAGGGAAGGGGGTATATTGAGGAGTGGGGCAAGGATATTTCCTTGGCCTGTCGAGAGGACAGTCTTTCATATCCTGCTTACATTACATTATTATCTGAGTTTCTGTTCAAATTGTCTGGATGTTCCTGTATTTCCAGGGCTTCTGTGCTTCCTCGGGAAATATAATGTTGTAGCTATGGTTGCCGTTTTGTCGAATAGTATTTGATGTCCTGTCTCAATGCTGTATTCTGCCAGAGCTGATTGTGTGACGTGTTTCAACCTATCATCCTGTTGATGTTCTTTTATCTGTGTGTTAACCGTTTTTCCGGTTTTACCAATTTACACTTTCCCGCAGGAGCAGGGTATTTTGTACACTCCTACAATACTGAATGAAGTTTTCTAATCCTTGGGATTTCTCAAGATTTGTTCAATCTTCTTTGGAGGCTTGAAAATGGACTGGATGTTGTATTTATACAAAATCCTGCAGATTCGGTCTGTTCTTTTTATATACGAGAAACTTGGTGTATCCATTTCGTTGTAAAGTTTCCTTCAAGTGGTTGAGTTCCATTTGTAGATGTTCTTTATCAGAGATACTCAACGCTCTGTGTACAAGTGAGTGTTTGCCGACTGTTTTTGAGTTGGATAGTGATGTAACTCCGCATGTAAGTATCTGTCCGTGTGCATTGGCTTCCTGTATATCTAATGGTCCAATGTGTTGTCCGTCTTCTTTGTGATAAGGACGTCCAGGAAGGAAAGTTTACCATTCTCTTCCATTTCCATGGTGAATCGATTGTTGTGATGTTGTTTATTGAAAAAGTTTAAGAATTTGTGAAATTCATCTTTGCCGTGTCTCCAAATTACAAATTTATCGTCTACATATTGGAACCAAATTTCTGGTTTATTGGTCGCCTTGTAAAGAGCCTCATCTTCGAAGTGCTCCATGAAGGATGTTTCCCACTACAGGAGAAATGGGAGAACCCATGGCCACTCCATACATCTGTTCGTAGAATTGGTCATTACAGAAGAAATATGTGATCGTGCTCTAAGGCTGGGTCCACAACCTCGCTTTAAGAGGCCCTAAGCCGTAAGAAATTGACTAATCACAGTTGAATTTTTTTCGCATTCAACTATGATTGATTCAGCCTTAAAGGGATGATGTTATTTGGGACTTTATGTGAGGTTTTAATATTATTATTATCTACAATGTCCTTTATTGGAACATTTGTGACCTTATATCGAAACTTACCTTCTATAATATATCTTCTTCGGGATATAGACGGATTTTTTAGATTTTCCGTATAAAGGAAATACCCCCTTCCCCAACTCCTCAACATATCCCCCTTCCTCTCCCAACAGCTTCTACATAAAGGGAGTCCTTCGAGTCCGGGGTAGCAGCTCAGCATCAGTGCACTTCTCACCCTGATGAAGTGAATGGCATGATTCACGAAACGTCAGCATTAAGAATGAAGAAAAACACGGCAATAACCCGCAAACTTTCTTGTGTAATTGAAGATAATACCCGTGAAAGTTTCAAATGTGTAGTTGTGAGATGTGGTTCTTTGTACACCATGTCTTTTAGAGTTTCCTATAAAAAATAATCCAGTGGTGTCAGGTCTGGCGAACGAGTTGGCCATGTTACAGGACCCCCGCGTCCACTCCAGCGATTTGGAAATTTTTCATTGAGTTTATTTCTCGCAACGAATGAAAAATGAGCATCCATCATTCTGGTACACTCGTAAAAGTGAACGTGACAAGCGAATAACTCATGCAGGGAATGAAAATTTAATTTAAGAGGTTAATATTAAATATTAAATGTTATTAATTAAAAGAATGTTTGTTTCATTGAAGCACAATGTATCCATTTTATTTGATGTGAAAAGTTATATCAGAGTAAAAGTTATTATCAGAATAACGTGTAAAAATCTCGTAAATATATTATTGATTTTTCGATACCATCTTAATACTCTTTTATGTAGAATAATTAGAGGAATCATATTATGTAAAAAAATTTATATAATTTCATTTAAAAAACCGAAGTTGACCTTGAAATCTCCGAAGTGCCTCCACCTGAACAAAAATTATTATTACGATATGATAGTCCCCTTTATATCGTGTAATTTTGGTTATATAAGTTTTTGTCTACACCTTATAGATTAGAAGATATTGCAGGTGGTAATAGTTATTGCGACACCGTACATTATACGCGCGCGCGCGCATACATGTGTGACACATATAACGTTAATAATATTTATATTGTAGCGATATCCAGCTTACAAGCATCATTGGTCTGATACAAGATTACCTATCGTATTAGAAATAACACCATATAGTCTTGATCAACTAGATCCTGCGACAAACATGATATTAGCTAGTTATTGTTATAAAGATTTTGAAGGGCTTTTAACAATGAAAGATTATCCCAATGGATTTGTAATTGTATGTGGTGGGTTTGGACGCTTGCATCTTTTTGCTTCTAAACATATGGAAGAAATAAAAAAGAAATTGCAAGAAGCTGCATTAAATAATTTGGGCATTAATATAAAAATGTTGAAAGAGCCTATAAGACTCGATGATTTCATTGCTCAAAGATTAGGGAAATTTAGCAGCGATGAGCACATAACAAGCGTATCAGAATTTACTGTTCATAAAATCTCATCTAGGCATTTGGATCCTCAAAGAAGAACGCTTTGTCTTTCCGATACTTGCCTGTTGGAAAGAGATCCTCAAACGTATAATATTTGTACTCTTAGGCCACTGTCAGACATTTTTACTTTGGTTCGTGATAACGATAATCCCCAATTGTTTACTATACAATATCTTAATGGTCAAATGCGCAGTTATACTGCGACAAATAGAGATTCGTTATTAGCATCTTTACTGGACGGTGTAAGAGCATCCGGTAATAGAGACGTCCATGTGAAGATGTATCCCACAGCCAGAGGTAAAAGACTCGGACCTTTCAATCTATCTGTTGACGAAGAAGTCGAAACGACACATGTCAAATTCCTTCAGCAGCCGCCTGGAGGACGTACATTTGCTGACATTTTGGAGCGATTTAACGCAAATATACCGTACAGCGGACTTAATTACTCCGTTACACAAGATGTAAGAGCATTTCTCTATCTTTGATTGCATATACAGAATTATATTTAAGAAATATCGTTAAATAATCGCTCTTTAAGCATTCGTGCATATGTATAAAAGTTTGTACAGTACATTGAAGCGGTTAAAATATATTAACTGATTGAGAATTCGGAATTTGTTCGAAAATTTATAATTCAATAATTATATTTAAATTTTTTTATATTTATTTTTTTCCTTCTCTTAGGAAAACAATATACTTATAAAGATTGTAAAGTTTCAAATAATTCCATATTTAAGTAAATAATAGTACATAAAGAGATATGAGATATTTTCTGTTTATCCAGGAAGTTGTACCGCTTGAATGGACTGTAACGACATTACAACTCCAAGTACATCGTATTACGAATGATTACTTACAGGGGATTTTTACTGAAAACAAAGACAAGATTATTCTCGGAGCTTTAAATACTTTGATCAATAAAGATCTTGAGACAAATAGTGAGATTGAAGCACAATTTCATGCACTGCGAAGATTGGTGGCTAGCAAAATCGGTTTTGCTGCATTTACAACACTTTCTGGCTTTAGAGAAACCGTTGGTACCAAAGTCGTGAAGGCTTTAAAGAGACATAATTGTGGTATAACGCAAGCTGCCATAGATTGTATTTGCGCTTTAATGCAACCAATGCATGATGATTGCGATTTAAGACAAGAACAATTGAATAAAAGTAGTCTACTCAGCAGTAACAAGTTTTTAGAAAGTTTACTTGAAATGTGGGTTAATCACATTGTAAGTGTTTTACTATTGCATTTTCTTTTATCGCTTATGATATCTGATTTTTTCTGAGGTCTATTTTAAAACTTTTGTTTTGTAATTGTTAACTTTGACAGCTTATATAGTTGTCTTTTAGCATTAATGTTTTGCCACAGTGTGTTAAATAAAACAGACTATTGAGATGCATCGACACACACGCACACGCGTATGTGTATGTATACATTTTTAATCACTGAAATAATATTTATCGTCGTTTTGATAAATTTTATGTATAGTGTCCTTTATATTAAGAAATTTTATACAAGATTTTTAGTAATGTGCAAAAATATCCTATAAAATATAATGCGACATGAAATGATGAGCCAAAGCCTTTTTTTTTAATATATCAATTGGTATAGTGTGATTTGCTCGTTTTATAGTTGAATATCAATTTAAAAAAAATTCGAGATTTAATCTCACTCAACATGTACATTGATTCCCATGACTTAGATTATTTTTTAAATTTTATACTGATGAGGATCTAAACGAACAGTCGAAAAGTTTATTTATATTATTGTAAGACTTTTAATAAAGTTACTTATAATTCACACAAACAACTAGTGTTGGCTCACATTGGCAATAATTTTTCATATATTTAGATTTAGTCTCTTGAGCTTATGTTCTTATAGAATAGAATTTTTTTAATGTTACAGAATCATGGTACAGGTGCACTGGTAGTTTCTGCTATGCTCGATCTTTTAACATTTGCCCTGTGTGTACCATACAGTGAAACTACTGATGGCAAACATTTCGATAATCTTTTAGAAATGGTTGCTACAAGAGGTAGATCATTGTTTAAATTGTTTCAACATCCTTCATTGGCTATTGTCAAAGGTGCTGGACTGATAATGCGAGCGATCATTGAAGAGGGTATACCTGAAATAGCAGCAAAAATGCAAGAACTGGCACTTGCAGAAGGAGCTCTACCTAGGCATTTATTAAATAGTTTATTTATTGTCGGTAGTGATAGCAGACTATTAACGCATCGACAATTGTGCCGACATTTAGTAGGTTTGTGGGTTACGGGACATCCAACAGCTATGGGATTATTGAAACGAATTATGGTGAGTTGATATGTATATTAAAATAGAATTCTATAAAATGGAGACAACTGTTTTTAAAAGTATACCTATTATGTTACGTGTTGCAAATACAAATACGGAATTGCTGCAATTTGTAGCCGGTAGGTTTGTTGAATTATTTGGATTCTGATGAAAAAGTACCGGACTCATTCCTAGAAGAAGAGAAATTAAACAATCGTGACAATTTAAAAATAGCTATAGATCATGCATCAAGAAATAAAAAGAGTCCACAATGGATCGCTATCGAACGTCAGATGCGAGTAGTCGAAAAACACGTAGAAAATGCTTTGCAACATTGGGGTGCTCGTATTGGAATAGAACGGAGAGAAAAGATTAAAGAGCGTCCGATAGTTTTAAGGAAACGTAGAGAACGAATTAAGTCTGAAGCAAATTGGAAATTATTCTATTATAAATTTAATCAAGATCACGCACTGCCAAATTTAATTTGGAATCACAAAACGAGAGAAGAATTAAGAATAGCTTTGGAACATGAAATACGCGCATTCAGTTCAGATAAAGATTTAGCTGGTGGAACTTTGATTGCGTGGAATCACAGAGAATTTGAGGTGCAATATCAATGTCTTTCGGATGAAGTTAAGATTGGAGATTATTACTTGAGGCTTTTATTGGAAAAAGATAGTCCAGACAGTCCTATAAGAAAATCGTAAGTACACACACGCACACGCATGTTCATACGCATGCACGCGAGCACACGAATAACTGTTTATACGTCCAATGTAACTATGATCACGATTTTTCCGGCACTTCCAATGATCTGACAAAAATTATTTTTGATAAAAGTTAATCAATTTTCAATAAGTTACAAACTGCAATATTAAAAATTTGAAAAATACCCTTTTTAGGAAAAAAGTCAAGGTAACCCTAATTTTTTTAAATGTCTTTACATATTTTTTACTTCATGTAGAGAAAACTAGACAAATTTTGGTATGCAGTATAATTTATTCAACCGGATTACAAGATGTCGTTTCTTCGTCACGTCATGCAACGTACTACTGCCGGTAGCCACGCATGCCACCACACTCGCGCACAGGACTATGCCTAACAAAATAGAGCTCCGCGAATAACGATTGAAATCCGGGGATCCTACGCGCTACATTCATAGTGTAACTGATGTCAAGACGAGTTCAATGATCTGCTATACTATGACCTTGAGATGACCTTTCAGTCGTGGGATTAATGAACGGAAACGTTTTTGTGAAAAATTATTTTATTTGTATAATATTAAATTCTTTATATCGACTATTCAGTAGAAAAATATTTTTGTATCTGCTACTTTTTCACAGACATGGAATCTTGTTTTTTAAGATCACACCACTATAGACGGCGAAAAAAGCGGTTTTTTTTGCGATTTTTTTGTTTTGTAGAAGGAAAAGTAGGAGGATAATTCTTTTCAAGGATATTATTAGGCACCTTTTGAAGTTTACAAAAAATTTTTTTTTATTAAAAAAAAAGTTACAAAATGGCGGCGTAAGAGCAACTCTTCTTAGATTGTTTTTTTTTTTTTTAAGGGCTCCACTGCAAGCAGTACACAGGGTTGAAAAATGAATCTGGAGCAAAATAAAAAATTTTTTCTTAATTAACATTAGAATAGCTACAGAAATATGTGGCCGATTTTGAAAATATTTATTTTTGTTAAATTGGCTAGCATTCAAAGTTAAAAGTCAAATTTTTGACCAAAAAATGAGTACTTATTTGTGTCTAAAAAATCGAAATTTTAACATATCAAAAATCGGCCACGTATTTCTGTGCGGAATGTTGTTTTAAATATGAGATATAAAAATGAGGTGAAAAAAATGAAAATTGTTCGAGTTATGCTGCTTGCAGATTTGAAAAATCGTGTTTCGAGATAAAAGCGTTTAAAGATTTGACATGTGTTTTGAACATGAAAAAATGACAAATTAAAATAATAAAAATTTTTTACCTTTAGTCTGCAATGCCAGGACCGTAAAGTTGTCCTTCCAGACTTTCGTACATGGCCTCGTTTTCTTTTCTGGACGATTTTATGGCGGAGCGAGCCTTTTTCGCTGCGTCGGTCAGAGACCGCTCGGCACATTGAATTCGAGCAACATCATCTTCTAAGCAAAAGTTGTAGGACTGAGGTCCGATGCTCATACCCATCACTTCCATAATTTTTAGAACGCTGCTTAATCCATCATTAACATTGCAAACAGCAATGTTACTCGCTATTTGCAAAACTTTCTTTCCACTTGAATATGCTTTTGGAGCCAATTGCCAGACTGTCGCATTGAAACTTTCGTTACAGTTTTGCGTGAATCCTCCTAAACAACGATTTAGTAAGTCGTCACGACTCAAACCCTCATATATCAACTTGATAGATTGAAAAACAAAGTCTGTTAGTGATGGCTTGTGTTGAAAGGAGTCTAAAGAACCAGCTGCTTCTGCCTTCTTCCATTCACACCAAGACTCTGAGCACTTCTCGTGCTGCGGGTTTTCGTCTGTTGATATTTTATGATATAAAGTCGCCCATATATCATTTCTCATTTTTTCTAAGGAGTTCGGATTCCTTCGGATTGCCAAGCCGTAATAAATTGTCAATTGATCAATTACTTTGTCAGTTAATTTACCTTTACCTTTTCCTCCAAGTCCCTTGACAGTTTTCTTTAATTTTCTCAATCAAGTGCCCATTCTTTTTTGAACGTGATCAATACATTTTCTCTTTGTCACTAGCAAATTTTCGTATGCATCCAATATGCCCTTGAGGGTTTTGCTGTCACCATCATCTATGTAGATCGCGTATTGAAGGCCGTGTAAGGCTTCAGATCGTTGGAACATTTCGACGACAGTGTCTACCTCCATTTTACCCGATGAACCTTCGTGATTTGCTTGACATTGATCAGTATGAGTTTCGAACCATTCTTCATATTCAGCAGTGTTTAATTTATTCTTCCAGTACTCGCAGGCTTTGCAGTATTTTGACTTCACTTCTATATCCAGAATTTTACCTGTAAACCACCCAATCAAAGATGTAATTCCAAAAAGCGACGAAAAACCAGGTTTTCTCCAGGAACCATCTCCGGATACAGATATCCCTGTATTTAGTCGATTTTCTTCTGTTTGCTTCTTCTCATCTTCTGCTGCCCTCTTCATACTAAACTCTCTCACAGTTTCCGTTGCGATAAAAATTATATCCACTATACGATTATAAAAAGATTGAAATATCGGACGTGGCAATTCCATAAATGCACAAAAAACTTCATCGTTCCAGCTAGCCCCACTCCTAACATTCGCATTGCTAGAATGATGAATGGTTGATTTCATATCCATTTCGTATAAATGGACTACTTGGGATTTCAACTTTTGGACAATTCGGACAAGAAATTAGTTTGAAGCCTAAGCCCCGCGTACTTGATTCGAGAAATTTCACATCAGAGTTACACGTTTTGCACTTCACGTATTCCGAAATGGCAGAAAAAACAGCACAAAAGTTTACAATTCTGTAACTAAATTCATTTTGCACTTCAACATCAACATCAGCCTGTTTTAATTTCTTCGCAGAAGCACTGACACCTTCCGTATCTCCTTCACGTTCATATTTGTTCAACGGTCGTCGTTTCCTCACATTACTCCGTCGGCGCGAAGAAAACTATGCTCTTGTGCCTTTTTTATCAGTGTATACTTTTTTTATCACTCATTGTAACAGTTACTAATGTCTAAGTTAAAGGTCAGAAAGAAAAAAAATCAACACTGCAAAACCAAATTGTATTTTCAACGAACTTCTACGCAAAATTTACGTTTTGTTGACATCAAATGACGCTATAATCAGCTGTCCTCAGCCGGGGTGCGTTCAGAATGAACGCCTGGACGACAACTTTTTACCTAAAAGCGTTCGATTTAACCGGATATTTCGTCCAGACGTTTCACCCAGATCGTTCAGAATGGGTTTAGAAAAACACCCAGACTACAACTTTTCGCCGCACTCGAGACGAATTCGCACTGCGGCGAATTTCGCCCGACATGCGCAGAGAAGCCTATTTATGCCTACGCAACCTATAAGAACCATATGATGATATGATTTGAGGTTATTATTATGTCTCACGCCATTTTAGCACCGAGACACTTCCGTATTTAATGATAAATAGAATAATATGAATTATAAAGAATAGTTTAAACTTTAATATAAAGATAATAATATAAAGAATAGTTTGATAGACAATAATATAAATATTTGATAGATAATAATATATTTTATAGATGATATGAAAGAATAGTTTGAACTTGGTAAGTGATTATATACATTTTTTATTTACATTATTTATTCTATATAACAATATATTAATGTAAAAAAGCAAGTAATAAATACATGCATAAATTTTATTAAGAGAGAATTATTCAAAATAAAAGCAACATAATTCTATTAATTTATTTAGTATTAATTTTTAGTTGAAAAGTACAATGGAAAATCGTACAATAGGTGCTATTACATTACATAAAACGTTCTTCTTGAGTGATATCGAGTCTGATGACGATTCCGAAGAAGAGGAGCTAATAGAATTATATGCTGAGAAATTGTCAAATTCCCACAAAAAAATTCCATCTCGAATAAAATATTTTATTGAGCATACCGTATTAAGCAGTACGGCAAAGGAATTTCAATCACATTTCAGAATAACAATTTCAGTCCTTTTCCTTTTTAGAGACTTCTACGATTTCGATAGATTATCTTTTACATTTGAGACGATATTGAAGAAATTATCGAATCAAATAAAGAGTCTAATTCAACAGATAATTATAACTCAAATGTAAAAGATAATCTATCCAAATCGTAGAAGTCTCTAAAAAGGAAAAGGACTGAAACTGTTATTCTGAAATGTGATTGAAATTCCTTTGCCGTACTGTTTAATACGGTATACTCAATAAAATATTTTATTCGAGATGGAATTTTTTTTTGGGAATACGACAATTTCTCAGCATATAATTCTATTAGCTCCTCTTCTTCGGAATCGTCATCAGACTCGATATCACTCAAGAAAAACGTTTTATATAATGTAAAGGCACCTATTGTACAATTTTCTATTGTACTTTTCAACTAAAAATTAATAATACTAAATAAATTAATAGAATTATGTTGCTTTTATTTTGAATAATTCTCTCTTAATAAAATTTATGCATGTATTTATTACTTGCTTTTTTTACATTAATATATTGTTATATAGAATAAATAATGTAAATAAAAAATGTATATAATCACTTACCAAGTTCAAACTATTCTTTTATATCATCTATAAAATATATTATTATCTATCAAATATTTATATTATTATCTATCAAACTATTCTTTATATTAAAGTTCAAACTATTCTTTATAATTTATATTATTCTATTTATCACGGTTAAATACGGAAGTGTCTCAGTGCTAAAATGGCGTGAGACTTAATAATAACCTCAAATCATATCATCGTATGGTTCTTATAGGTTGCGTAGGCATAAATAGGCTTCTCTGCGCATGTCGGGCGAAATTCGCCGCAGTCTCGAGTGCGGCGAAAAGTTGTAGTCTGGGTGTTTTTCTAAACCCATTCTGAACGATCTGGGTGAAACGTCTGAGGGTGCTGTCCCATGATACGGAAATTACACCGGAACGGAACAGTGAGACCAATCAGATCTCTGCAATCATTACTCTACTTT